GCGAGGGCTGGCGACGAGAGCCCGGCGGCAGCCGGGATGGCCAGCGGCGACGCCGGCGCCACATACGCAGCACCCGGCGGGTATGCTGGCCGGGAGGAGGCGGCCGGCGAGGCGAGCTCCGCCCCTGCGGCCCTCAACTGGCCGGGGCGGAGGAGGCCGCGGCGCAGCGCGACCATGGAGCTGCTTCGCGCTGCTCGGCGAAACGAGGACGAGCAGCGCGAGGCGATGCTTCCCGACGACGTGCCGATGCTGCTGCCGCACGGCGCTAAGCACTGTCTCGAGGGCGCTGCGCGAGGTGCGCCGCCGTCTGCGCGAGTACTTGAGCGAGCTGGCGGAGAGGGGGCAGGTCGTCCCGATGATGCGGGTGGCTCGAGGCCTCCACCCGACCGTTCGGTGGACGATCGGGTTCGGCGAGTGGCTGGCGTTGACGCGAATTCGTGAGTCGAAGGCCAGCCGCTGGCTCGCTGTGAGGGGTTTTGACTATTACCGCGGCCCTGACGCTATCCCATATAGGGAGGGTGCCCATACTATTCATTGAACTCCCTGCCGTTTAGCGTTTTCTATACATTTTGTTGTAAAGTTCTATACATTTAGCTGCGCAAATACAGATCCCGACTGTTCACAGTGGGGATGAGAGAGAGTCGTCTCTATTAGCTCGTCGGTACGAGGAAGCCTCAGCATGTTACATAAAACGCCCTATGCCAACGCAGCGCACTCCTGGAAGTGGTTAGCGCGATCCAACCCTTGCCGCTTGAGCCGAACTGCAAAGTTGCTCGTCACCTCTACACCTGCTCCACCTCTGGCAGCTGCTCCAGCTGCGAATCCTCGTCGGTAACGACTGGGTCGGACGTCGTCGAGCCGCGAGGCACGGTAGTGAAGCGCCCGATATTAGAAAGCGAGTCGCGGATGCTCGAGCGAGCGCTCACCGGGGTTGCGCCCAGAGCCTTGGCCAGCAGCACGAGCGACACCTGTGAGACCGGGGGTGCAAGATCAGTCGCTTCAGGAGGCGGGGGCTGTGGCAAAGGTGCCGCCGGGGGAGCGCACCTCATGGTGCAGGCCAGGGAAGCAGGCAATGGCGAGGGCGTCGTAGAGCCCGGCGTTGATGAGCTCCTGCGGCGGCGGGGAAGGGGGGCATGGAGCGGGCGGGACATAAAAGATCGACCGCTGATCGGCAGCGTTCCTGCGGCGTGGTCTCAAAAAACTTGGCGAACTCACAGCCGCCGCGGTCGAGGTCGTTCTCGTGCGCCATGACGATCTTCAGCCTGTCCTGGCGCGCCTGCTTGACCTGCTCGGCCAGCCGCTCGTCGGACCAGGTGTCGGCGTTCAGATAGAGAAGCATGTGCGTGGCGTCGCCCGCCTCCTCGGCGGTGGAGACGGTGAGGCCGGAGAAATTGGTGGCGAGCTCGCTGGCCAGCTCGTCTGCGCCCTCATCGAACGGCGAGGCCCAGAGCACGACGGACTTGGAGAAGGAGATCGGCTGGCCCTGGACCTCGCCCGGGATGAAGAGCGGGAGGGAGGTCAGGTTCAGGTAGTGTGGCGAGCAGAGGAGGAGCGCCTGTGGGTAGGTGCGAGGGGGCGGCGGTCAAGGTCGAGGCGACGGCAGAACAGCTGCAGGGAGTTGTCCGTGGCGGCACCTCGGAGATGATCTTAAGCGAGACACGCTGATACTCGTCGATGCGGTGCCACGTCGTCTGCGCCCACCCACTGTCAAAGATCTCCGGCTGGAGGACCTCCGGGCACTGTGCTCGCAACTCCTGCAGTCGTGCAGCGACGGTGTGCGTGAGTGAGTGCTGGCGTGCGGCGGCGGCGGCGACACCGCCCCTCATAGCCGTGTGTGGCGAGAGCAATCCCCGCAGGGTCAAGCGAGCAGGGGTCGGGCGGGGAGCGCCTGCAGCGTCCCGCCGCCCTTGGCCGGGTCCGCCTCTTGCACGAGGACGAGCGGCTTGCTCTTCTCGAGCGACGTCCGAATCTCGCGCAGGCAGTTCTGCAGGCAAGGAGCGCACGAGTAGTCGTGGGCGACACAGCGAGGCACTCTCGGAAAGGGAGGGGCTGGGGGAGTGCCTTCGAGCGGAAGTAGCCCCTCGACAGGAAGAAGAGCATGACCTGCGTGCGGTCAACGTAATCCTCCAGCGACCCGATGTCCTTCAAATGGTCCACATCGAGGAAGATCTGGATGCCGGGGATCAAGAGCTTAAGCTCATTCTTGATGACCGCGACGGCGTCTTGGCCGGTGCACTTATTAAAGAAGTGGCGGATCGTTCTGACGGCTTCTCTTACTCGGCCTCTCGCTGCGATGGCGTCGGCAGCCCTGACCAGCGCGGAGAACAGGAAGCCCGGAAGCAGCGCCTGCAGCGCCCGCCCGCCGCCGAGCGCCTCCCCCAGGACCGTCGCAACCTCAAGCACCGAAGCGCGCAGCTCT